GCTTGCAAGAGGTGCTGTAAGGGAAAATGAAAGCAGGGTGAGGGGCAGAAAGGGCAGAGACAGCTCTTCCACAGCTCAGTGGTCAGAGAAGGCCACTCCAAGGAGGGGACATCTGAGCAGCAGAGGTCTGACAAGATCAGGAAGTAAGCCTCAGGATATCTGGGGTAATACTGTCTCAAACAGAGGAAACAGCAAGTGCAAAGGCCCTGCGGCACGATCCTGGCTGTTGTGTTAAAGGAACAGCAAGGAGGTAAGTGTGGCTGGAACAGAGCGAGAGAGGGTAGGGGGATTCAGGGGTCAGAGAGGAAACATGGATTAGAGGTGTCACACCCTGTAGGTGGCAATGGTGAGAAATTTGATTTTGATCTGAGTGACCAGGGAGCCACTGGAAGGTTCTGAGTAAAGAAATGATACGAACGGACTTAGGTTTAACTGCTGAGTTGAGAAGAGACTGTAGAGGACAAGGGTAGAGGCAGGGAGACCCACCAGGAATGGAGACAGTGGCCCAGGAGAGAGGTGAAGTGAAGGAGTTGGAAGACCTGGACTCTGGAGAGATCTGTAAGTAGAGCCGACAGAACTCCTTAAAGGACTGGGTACGGGGCGGGTTAGAGATATCTCCCAGGTTTGGCCTGAGCAACTAGAAAAAAGAGAGGCCATTTACAGAGATGGGGATAAGGGCATAGGGTGGGAGAGGAGACAGGACTGGAGGAAGGGGCGAGCCAAGCATTTGGTTTGGGACGTGTTAGGGAGAGGATGCCTGTTAGACATCCAAGCAAGAAGCTTAGTGGGCAGAAGAAAAGTCCCGCCCCCGGTTAAGGGAAAGATGCAGGCTGGAAGTCATCAGCACAGAGATGGAGTTTAAAGCCATGGGAATTCTGCACAAAAACGTGTAGGTGAAATGTTCATCACAGCACTGTTCATGACAGCCAAAAAGTGGGAACAACCCAAATGTCCATCAACAGATGAATGGATAAGCAAAACGTGGTCTACCCAGACAATGGAATATTATTCAGCCATAAAAAGCAATGAGGTTGTGATCCATGCTCTAATGTGGATGAGCTTTGACAACACTGTGCTAAGTGAAAGAAGCCAGACACAGAAGGTTAGCTATTATACGATTCCATTTAGGTGAAATGTGCAAAACAGGCTATTCATAGAGACAGGAAATAGATGGGTGGTGCCAGGAGCTGGGGGGACAGGGGGGAAAGGGAAGTGCCTGTTAATGGGTCCAGAGTTTCTTTTGGGAGGGATGATGAAAATATTTCTGAAATTATTATGGTAATGGTTGCACAACTTTTGAATATATTTTTAAAAAATTTTTAAAAAAGACGAGAGTGAATGAGGCCTCAGGGGAGTGAGTCTAGAGTCAAGGCCCCAGGACTGAGGCCTGGGGCCCACCTACGCTTGGAGGTCTAGAAGGTGAGGACCGAGCAAAGGAGACTGAAGGGGTTGGAGAGGTAGAAGGCAAAGGGGAACAAGGGGACTGGAGTGCCAGCTGCCCCCTTTAGACAGATGTGCCCCCCAATTTGCCCCCGGCCTGCCTCCCCCACTTCCAGCATGCAGCAGGCAGGTCCCCGTGGGGCCCAGTCCAAGGCCAAAAGCCCTGAGATCTGTCTTGCTCATGACTATGGATCCTAAGCCACACCAGCGGCTGGTGCACAGGAAGTGCCCCAAAGACATCTGCGTACCACCAGGAAACATCTAGAAGGGTCAGTGACCATCGGCCTCACCTTGGGCACCTGCCATTTGAGCACCAGGAGCACTGCCCCAAACCTGAATCATTTCCCTGGAACCGTCGATGGAAAACTCAACAAAGCCTGAAAATGCCAACTGTCTATGCCGGGCCTGGGCTGAAGGCTGAAATAGAATGTTCCGGCTATTCTTAGGCAATGTTCAAGTTCAGCTTTTTGGGGCTGTTCCCAAAGAGGCTTTTATTCTCGCCTCTTCCCTCTTCCCACCCAGGATCCTCAATCCTGTTTGCCTACTCAATTGAGAGTTCAGCTCAAACAAGTGGGCTCACAGGGCCACAGGGACATCTGCGAGGGCGTCAGAAACAGAGGGGCCGGAGGGGGGGCACTGCCCCCAGCTCATGGGACTGTCTTTCAAAACCCATTGGAAAATGTGACAGAAAGGAGGAACTTAGGAGGGGTATGAAGAATTCCCCTCCATCCCAGCTGTTTTCTGATGCAAACATTCCAGCGGTGGGTGCCAGAGGCCGGACATCTGAGCGTTCGGTCAGGCGGGCAGCATGGCATGGGCCCACAGGAATCTGAGTCCCCGCTGGCTGGTCCCCCCATGCTCTCCGAGCCTCGATAAACACAGCTGGGGACGGAGGAAACTGGGCCTGTAAACAGCCATTTGGTCAGGACAGCAAACCCACAGCCCGGCTTCATCACCATTTCCTATGGGCAGTTATCCCGACTTCGGTTGCTGGCCGGGTCTGTCCCTCTCTCTCTCCTCTTCTGGGAATCGGGAGCCCAGAAATCCTGCCAGAGCAAACTTGGGGCCCCTGGGGCTGAGCAGGCCTCAGACATGCATGGGCCTCACATTGAGAGCTGGAGCCCACCCGTAAACACAGGTCCAGCCCCACTGGCTGTTAAAATACGTTATGGAAACTGCCTCTCCAAGTGCATGCTGGGATCCCAGACTTTCCCAAGATCCAGAAATCAAAGGGTTACTGAACACCCAGGGAACCTCAGCTGGTGGTTCTTCTAATGGGTCAGACGTTTAAGGTTTTAAAACTCAGGAAAGGAGGAGCAGACCAGTCACCAAGCCATGAAACACAAGGTCACTGACCTTCCCAGATTCCCCACTGAGGGAGGTGAGAAGGTCAGTATCTGCAATGCCCCGCGCTTTGGCAGCTTTACCATCTCAAAGTGCTTCCTCAACAGGCTGTGGAGCTGATAGGGGAATTCTAGAATCGACAAATCATGGTTCCTCCTCATTACCTAATGTGCGGCCTTGAGCAGGTCCTTCCTTTCTCTGTGCCTCATCTCTACAATGGGGATCATCGGACTGCCTACCTCATCAAGTTGCTCTAAGAAGCAAAGTAAATAAGTGTCTCATCATCGTAACAACCTCATCAGTACTATTAATACAAACTATGTATTACAGATGAGAAACTGAGGCATGGAGAAGTGACTGGCCCAAGGTCACAACACTAGTAAGAGGCAGAGCTGGCATTCAAACCCAGGCAGACTGCGGCTGCAAAGCGTGGCTCCAACCCAGGGGTCAGCAAACTTCTTCTGTGAAGGTCCAGAGAGTAAATATTGTAGGCTTTGCTGGCCACATCCGGTCTCTGTCACACAGTCTTCTTTGTTTTCTTGGTTGTTGTTTTGTCCCACAACCATTTAAAAAATGTAAACAGCATTCTTAGCTCACGGGTTGTACCCAAATAGGCCATGGGCTAGATGTGACCCACAAGCCACCGTTTTGCTAGCTCCTGTCTGAAGCCAATACAGAACACTACCTCTTTAAATGCTCCCAACTAATTCACGTGTGGAGGACACATCACACAGGTCAAATAAAGAACATGGGCAGATCCAATTCAGTCCACAGGCTACCACTTACCAGTTCCACATGGAGCTTCTCCTGCACCAAGGTGAAGAGCTGAACTATGTATGGCATTGCCAACATTCATTTGGGAATCCAAGTGGCTACAAGAACCACTGTAGAAAGCACTTTTGAGATCCCTGGGAGGGATAAAGAGCAGCAGGCCAGAGGAGGTGTGGGGAGAGCTATGTCCCACTTCCCATAGGTGCACACGTTAGGGGCCTGTGTTCACAGGCAAAGCCAATGACCCCAGGGTATGGTCCGGCTCAGAGGCTCAAGCGTCACCCACCTTATCCAGTAGAAAGTCAAGCTGAAGAATTCCCTAGTACTTTTTCCCTCCCCTCTCCCTTCTAGCTCATGGAGCAAGGATGCACGTGTCTCCATGGAGCAGGTGTGTGAATGAGGCACTACCAGCCAAACCAGCAAGGACTCCAGGAACAGCTGTCAGACACAAGGCCTTGAGGATGGAGCCAAGGCAGGCTCGGGTCAACAGCCACCGTGTCCAAGGGCTGAAAACCCTGGCTGAGAGCAGCAGATGGTGACACAGCCATCTGCCCGCCTGGAGGTCTACCCAAAAGCCAGCTCTGAAGCTGAGAATTAAGACTTCTTGGGCCCCCACACAAGCAGCAAATCTTCCCCTGGTCTGCCTGACCAAGACTAAGCCAAACGTGGCTGGACAGCAAAGGAAACAGCAGTATGTGGATGCTGTGGTTTGCCCACACGGCATCTGCCCACCCTCTTCCACAAATAGCCCAAATTTTGGTGAGGAGGGTTCAGTCTGTCCCCCTCACTAGGCTTTTGGCCTGTGGAAAAATGACTGGTGGGAGGTTGGAGCACATGACACAAATCTAAGCCAGTTAGACATCCCTTGCTCAGAGTAACTGGCTAGGTGTGAAGCACCCCAATCTCAGCCAATCAGAACACAGTATTGCCCTGCTCACTATCATTGGACCATGCTTAGCCAATCAGAGCCTAACACTGCCCAGCTCACAGTGATTGGGGTAAAGCTGAGCTCAAGTATATTGAAGGAGGAGAACTAGCACAAGCAAAGGCTTCACATCATTGGTTCAAGTAAAAGCACGGGAGTCAGGCCCAAATTATTCAGAATATCCCATCCTGCTGGCCACAGATGGCCAAAACCTGAATCACCTCAAGACTTTTCTCAGGGCTCCTAGAACAGAGGTTCACTCTTTCCCACTGTCCTTGAACTTGAGAGGCTGTCAGGCCACAGTAACTACAGCCCTCTGCTACCACACTGAAAATGAAGCCGGACATTCGAAAGCAGAACTGAACAAGGGAGAAAGAGACAGGGTCCTGGTAGGATCTAGCCCAGCCCAAAGCCAACAATGCCCCAGACTTCTCAGCTGCGTGAACTAACAAGTTGTATTTTATGATTAAGCCAATCTGTCACTTCAAACACGGGGAAAGGGGGAGGGTGCCGGTCTCACCTTGAGGAGGAGCGGGTACTTGCAGATCCTCTGAATCGGAGACAGCAGGTAGCCCTCCAGAGGGATGTCCGTGGTCTTGCGGCCTCCCAGAAGCATGCAGCTCTGCAAAGGGACAGGAGACCGTCATTAAAACTCGCCACAGACGGCAAAAGGATTAGACCACCCTCACACAGTCATGGGAAACACTCTCAAAACACAACTACAGACTTCGGAAGCAATTTACCAACACCCAGGAGAGATGGAAATGCATGTACAGGGTGGGGCAAAAGTGGGTTGCTGTTGTTCGCATGGAAAATAATGCAGTAATTAATAAATAATAATAGAAGAATGCACTGTGTTCTGCATACTCACAACTGTAAGCCTACTTTTGTCCCACCTTGTATTCAACAACTTAGCACAAGGCCTCCAGCAGGAGTGAGCCAAATCCTGCCCAGTCCCTATTTTGGTGATTAAAGTTTTATTGGGACACAGCCACTTCCACCTGTTTACATATTGCCACGGCTGCTTCCAAGCGATCACGGCAGAGCTGAGAGGTTGATAATGGAGACAGTAGAGTCACAAAACCTGAAATAGTTCCTGTCTGGCTTTGCACAGACAAGTTTGCCAATCTCTGGTCTAAGGAAACTTTCACATATACACACCGGGAGACAAGAGCAGAGACATTCAAAACGCCTTGTCCGGAACAGCAGAAAATGAGAAGCAACCTAAGTGTCCATCAATGGAAGAAGAGAAAAATATGCCTGCAGGAGATTTATACAATGGTGCACTGCACTGCGCTGACAATGGGGGAACTAGAGCTACGTGGCTGAATCTCAAAAACATACTTTTAAGCCAAAAAAAAGAAAGAGGATATGTATGGTATGAACCCGTTTAAAGCTTTTAAAGGTACACTAAGCAAAACTGGGCATTGTGTATAAAGAACAGGTCTGCAGTGAAATATAAAGACATGTATGGGAAAGAAATCATATACTGCTCTGGCCGGTTTGGCTCAGCAGTTAGACTATCGGCCCTCAGAAGGAAGGGCTGTGGGTTCGATTCCCGGCCAAGTGCACGTGCCTGGGTTGCAGGTTCCATCCCGGCCCTGGTCGGAGTCATGCAGGCCACAATCAATGTGTCTCTCTCACATTGATATTTCTCTCTCTCCCTTTCTCCCCCCCTCCCACTCTACCTAAAAATCAATAGAAAAATATCCTCGGGTGGGGATTAACAAAAAAAGAAAAAGAAAAGAAGTAATATACCAAGATCTAGTGGGAGTTACCTATGTGGACGGAGGGTTATAACAGGATTTGGAAAATGAACCCACAATCTTCAACTGTTACTGAAAACGTCTGATGTCTTTACTTGGAAGGTGGGGACGTGAGTGCTGGCGCAGGAACACCTGCATTTGGGCTTGCAGAGGAAAGATGGCAATTCGCCACCAGCTCCTGGCCACACCTGTCACCTCGCTCTCCACCTGCGGCCACCCACATCGGCATTTCCTTCATGCCAGCCCCCTCTGCTGTGCTCGATCGATGCCCCCTGCCTAAAATGCTTCTATTTCCCCCAATAACAATATTATTATTATCATCCACGACAGATAATATCATCCACACTGCCAGAGCTTCCGGTGTGCCCAGAAGGCCCTTGACGGCTCTACTCCTCACCGCCAACTTCCTATAACTAAACACTATTATTACTCCCATTTCCCAGCTCAGATACCTGGGGTTGGGGAGTTCTAGTGTTTCTCCTCCGGGTGACCTGAGAACAAGCGAGCCCTAGAGGTGGGATCTACACCCAGGCAGGCCGATGAAGGATCTGGGCTTGAAACGCTGAGGCCGGGCTCCCCTTAACCCAGCCCAGCTTCTTCCAGACCAGCTCCCCTCCCTATCTTCTCTCCGTTCCCAAGCTCTTTCCTCAGGCACCTCCGCAGTAGGGCGTTTCTTGCACGTGGCTAAAAACCACACGCAGGCATTGTCCTCTGCCCTGGAGAGCCTCCTTTTGGAGCCAGGAGGCTCCAACTTGAGAAACCGTGTTTCGGATGCCAGGAATCATGAGTTACAGGTCTGTGGTCCCCACCCACCATCCTCCCAAAGCCGCTCACAGTCGTGGGTCCTGAGGGGTGAGCACGTGCCCAGTGTATGCACGGATGAATAAATGAATGGGCGAACTAATGAATGAGCCCACTGCCAGCACACCCAGCAAAGAGCAGATCTCAGCCGTCCTCCTCAACAGCACGCTTGTAAACTGGCGATGAAACGGGACTCTTGGGAAAAGGGATTCCCACCCTATCTTTCATTCATTCTACAACTCACATCGTGTGCTTCCTGTGTGCCAGGCACCATTCCAAGCACGGGGGGAGCTTCCCAGCAAAGCAGACAAATGCCCTGCTTTCATCAGGTGAAAATAAGATCAGAGAACACTGACCATGTGCTCACCACGCACTAGGCACTGTGCCTCACGCTTCACCTATCGGTCACGTTCATCCTCACGGCCCTGGGGTGAGCGTGGACCGCTATGTCCCTATTACAGATGGGGAAACTGGCACAGAGAGCCCACAGGACTGGCTCAAGTCTCAGCCACTGCCTGTCAGGGATCTTCATGGCCCTCTCCTAGGAGAAGCAGACTCCCAGGGGCTCCGGGGTGCTGCTGTGGTGGGACCTGCATGCCCCCCACCCCCATGTCTAACCCTGGCACAGATGGGGGATCAGGGTTGCGGCAGCTGGGAGATGCCAGGCCCCACACTGCTCACACTCAGGCCTTTGTCCTCAGAGCCAGAACTCCCCACAAGCTGCCCTGGTGATGTCAGCTCTGGGCAGAGAGAGGGGAGTCTGGGGGTGGGGAAGGGCTTTCCAGAAGCCCCCAGGGCTGAGCCAAAGAAAGGCCTGTCTCTTTGTCCAGAATCAACGCGTTTTCGCAGGACTGGCACAGCCACCAACTAAGCTCGTCCCAAACCCCCTAGACGGTTGTTCCCGGTTATGTTCATTGTTTAAAGAGCAACACACACAGACCTACCATTCACTATTCTATTAGGATCGTACTCCAGGCACTACGGGAAGAACTTTTGAGGATTATCCCCTGAAACCTTCTAATTCACAGAATCGATTCAGGTGAGGGGCCACCTTCAACTTCCCGACTCTGGCAGCAGCGTGCCTGGCGCGGTCCAGGTCCTCCTTCCCATCCACACCCATTCCCTGGCGGACCCCCTCCAGACCCAGCACCATCCTGTCCACTGACCAGGCTCAGATTTATATCTCCAGACTCGCCCCTCCCTTCCCTAAACTCCAGACTCCAAGCCGATGCTTTACCCAAATCCCCACCTGGATGTCTCAAAAATGGCCTTTTTAAATGTTTTTCTCCCACTTGCTCCTAACCTAGCCTTCACCATCTAGGCAAATTTTAACTCGATTCTTCCAGCTGCGTGGGCCCCAAACCCTGGACTCATCTTTAACTCCTCTTGTTCAGTTATTCCCCCAAACCAACGACACTGCAAATCAGTCGGCTGTACCCTCCAACTCCCCATTATTCCAACCACCTCTTGCAGCACCAACACCCGGTCCTCACCGCCATCATCTTCCTGGACTGTGGCAGCAGCCCGGTAGTGGGTGAATAGTGTCCGCTGAAATGCCACACCCACCCAGAAGCTCAGAATATTGACCTAATTTGGAAATAGGGTCCTTATGGGGCTATTGTTAGTTGAACTGAGACATGGTCATACTAGATGAGGATGGGCCCTCCATCATCTGACGCGTCCTTGTAAGAGGAGAGGGCCATGTGAATGGGAGTCCTGCGTCCACAGAACACCTGGGGCCGCTGGACGCTGGCAGAGGAAAGGCAGGACCCTCTCCTAGAGCCTTGGGAGGGAGCAGGGACCTGCTGACACCTGACTTCAGCCTTCTGGCCTCCAGGATGTGAAAGAATAAATCCTGTTGTTTTAAACCACCCAGTTTGAGGCCATTGTTCATGGCAGCCCCAGGACACTTATACCAGCCCCACCTCCTCGCTTCTACCCTCACACTGCCAGGGGGCAGGCCTTTCAGAATGCAAATTAGTTCAAGGCATACCTTGGCTCAAAACCTACCCAGGGCTTCCCATCCCACTCAGACAAAAACTGAATATTCTATTGAAAGCACTGTCACGTGCTCCAGCGTGGACAGGTCTCACAGACGTTATGTTGCGCAAAACAAGCCTGGCACAAAAGCATCCTGTATGACTCCGTTCGTGAAAAATTCTAGGGCAGGCGAAATTAACGTTGGGTGAGAGAAATCAGCACAGAGGTTATCTCTGGATGCAGAGAGGGGCAAGCCGCAGAAAGGGCACAAGGAACCTTCCGCAGTGAAGGAAAAGATCTAAATCCTGACCTCGGTGTACACCTTCATGGGTGTACATGTATGTAGACATTCATCATGCTGTGAGTACATTCACTGCATGGATGCTAGACTGCAATAAAAGAGCTTTGTAAAGCCCTGGCCAGTTTGGCTCAGCAGTTAGAGCATCAGCCCCGCAGACCGAGGGTCTTGGGTTTGATTCCCAGTCCAGGGCATGTACTTGGGTTGCAGTTTCAGTCCCCGGCCCTTGTTGGGGTCACGTGGTCGGCAACCGATTGATGTTTCTCTCCCTCTTTCTCTCTCTCCCTCCTACTCTCTCTAAAAATCAATGGAAAAATATCCTTAGGTGAGGATTAACAAAAAATAAAAACAACTTTGTAAAAATCTCAGATTCTTTCCACTGTCTTAACGCTCCTTCATTATCTGTCCTTCCTTCCTTCCACTCTTCCTCCTTTTTAAAAAAAATTTTATTTGTTTTTATCCTCACCCGAGGATATTTTCACATTTATCTTCAGATAAAGCGGGAGGGAGAGAGGGGGGAAGACAGAGAAACATCGATGTGAGAGACACACATCGACTGGTTGCCACCCACACGACCCCAACCGGGACAGGGACAAACTGCAACCATGGTACGATGCCCTTAGAGGGAACTCTCTGGTCCGCAGGCTGATGCTCTAACCACTGAGAAAACCGGCCAGGGCTCCTTTTTTTTTATTTTATTTTATCTTTATTGATTTTAGAGAGAGAGACAGAAACATCGATGAGAGAGAACATCGATTGGCCACCTCCTGCATGCCCCCCATTGGGGATAAGGCCCACAACCTGGACATTGTCCTGACCAGGAATTGAACTGGCGACCTCTTGGTGCATGGGTCGATGCTCAACCACTGAGCCACACCAGCCGGGCACACTCTTCCTTTTATACTCTCCATTCCAGCAACCCTGCCTTCTTGCTATTCCTCAAACTCACTCCTACCTCAGGGCCTTTGCATTTACAGTTCCTTTACCTGGAAAGCTCCTCCCCCACCCCCAGGGACCTCATGCCCATCTCTCTCTCTCACTTTCATCCTTAACTTACTTAATTTTCTGCAGGGAACTTAATGCCACATGACATATAATGTAAATCTCCCCTATCTGAACAGCCACTCTTTAAGAGTAGGGACTTTTCTTGCCTTGGTCACTGCTGTGTTCCCGTACTTAGAATGATCTGTACCACACAGTAGGTGCTCAATAAAAAGTTGTTGAACGAGCCCTGGCCGGTTTGGCTCAGCGGTTAGAGCGTCAGCCTGCGGTCCACAGAGACCCGGGTTCGGTTCCCTCTAAGGGCATGTACCTTGGCTGCAGTTTGTCCCCGGCCCTGGTTGGGTCGTGTGGGTGGCGGCCACTCGATGTGTCCCTTTCACATCGATGTTTCTCTCTCTTCCTCTCTCTCCTTCCCGCTCTATCTGAGTAAAAAATGGAAAAATGTCCTGGGGTGAGGATAAAAAAAAAAAAAAAAAAAGTTGTTGAACGAATGAGTACCTGATCCCCATTTTACAGACAAGGAAACTGAGGCACAGAAAGACAAAGTTCCCGCCTCATCTTTCAGCTAGTGCACAGCACATCACATTATGAATGGAAAGCCAGAGTCTGTCTCTTCCCAACGCCTCAACATGAGATGGTGCTTCTGCAGGTGGCCAAAAGCGGGAGATGCCAGCAAGGAAGGAGACAGACGGCATGTGTGCTGGCACCCCACACGTCCTCCCTCCACCCAAGCTGGCCCAACCCAGCTGCTGCTAGAAAAGAGTACTTTGGCCCACCAGGAAGACTGCAGAGAGAGAGGAAGGAAGGACAGAGAAATTGAGGCCCTTCCCTTCCCACACATTTGCAAACACCTTCCTGCTTCCCAAGATACAGCAGAGCCCCAGGGGACACCCCAGGAGGGAGGGGCTCAGTGGGCAAGCCCAGAGCCTGGGTAGCATCCCTAAGCAGTGCTGCCTGAAAGTCGGCAGGTCAGTCACAGAACCGTGGTCCTGTGTGTAGTCTTACACGACATGACTTTACTTCTGCTTTTTGCCAAGACTCTTTTATGAGTGTAAGTGCAAAACTAGAAACATAAAGACACAGCTACCAGCAATGATGAAAAGCATCGGACCCGAGTGCTTGAGACACTTGCGACAAAACTGGCCATCCGCCAACCAACCTGCCCTTCCGCAGATGCTCACTGGAAGGGAGCCAAGCAACGTGAACTCACCAGTCAAGGAAACATACATTTCGGATCAAAATTCTGGAAAGACTTTGTCCGAGACTGTGCGTTAGGGAGACACGCAATCAAGAATTTTATTATATCGCTGGGCTCTCTGGACACACGGTTAACACTCCTTATGCCCTGTCAGTTGACTGTCCTTTTGTTTGCTGAATTCTGTATGTGCTGATGTGCTATCGGGGAATAAAACAGTATTGGGTCGGAGGCTGAGACTGAATGAGTAGGCAACTTAGAGGTGAAGGACCAGAATTCAAACCCTTGAGAAGCTCCATCATTTTTCAAATATGTACCCTTAGAAAGTCACTTAATATTTTAAAGTTATCAAAATCACCTTTGGCAAAAGCTTAAGGTGTCCCCAAACATATTCTGCCACAGCAACAGGATTTTCAGCGGGGCACACAGCTGTCCTACAAAGCCTACATTTCCCAGCCTCCCTTGCAGCAAGGTGTAGGCATGTGACTAAGTTCTGGCCAATGGGATGTGAGGAGAAGAGATGTGTGTGGCCCTTCCTTCCTACCTGTCCTGCATCCCACCACCTAAAGGAGGAAGTGAGAAGAGGTTTTCTTAGACCACATCAATGAGGGCACACCCTAGGGCCTTGGCCCCTGACACTGGAGCCCCCAGACTGACTCTCTATATCATGTGATTAACAGGGGAGAGAAATAAACGATTATCTTGTTTAAACCACTGTTACTGGGATGTCTGTAGAGCACACAAATGTACATCTTAACTCATACACAACAGACAGAGGCTGGTGGAGCGCCAAGGAGATCACACAGGGGAAGCTGCAGTTGTAAGGAAGACCATCAGGGATGTCTGCTGCTTTGCCTGATCAATATCCATTCCCGACTTACTCCCACCAATACAAACCAACTGTCCTTTAAGGATCCACCACACCCCTGGTGACAGGGTGTGGAGCTGACCCCGCCCTCCAGCTCCAGAAGTGACCAATCAAAACCCCAACCGATCCCTCTATCTCCAGCAGTTCAGGGATAAGGTCTTGAGCCAAGTGAGGTCGATGAGCATCAGACCCAGGATGTTCACCTACAGTTGGGAAAGAGGAGTTATCTTTATCCTGGAGCTGCTCAGCCATGAGCAGGTGTCAATGTGGAGTTGCTGAAGGCCACACTGATACCACTTGAGGAGAGCCTGCCCAGGAATGCCGCCAAGGCAGAGGAAAGCAGAGTCAAGAGACACGTTCCTAACGATAGCATCTGAACACCTAGATGCTGCTGTGCCTGACGCCGTCCCAGGTCTTAAACTTTCCAGAAAAATGAACCAGTAAAATTTTTTTTTTTTTTTTTTTTTTGCTTAAGCTAATTTTAACTGGATTTCTTTTGCTTATAATTAAATAACCCAAATAACACAGTCATTACTACTACCACAACCACTCTCATTAGAATCACTACTTCAGACTAGGAATTGGTACACTTGGCTCTAGGGCCAAATCCAGCCCTCTGTCTGTTTTTGTGAATCAAGTTTCCCTGGAATACAGCCATGCTCATTTCTTTACATATTATTTATGGCTGCTTTTGTGCTAAGACAGCAAAGTTAAGTCACTGCGACAGGGGCTGTATGACACAAAGGCAAAAGTATTCACTCTGGCCCTTTACGGGGCCAGAAAGCATCTGGGGATCCCTGCTTTTGACAGGTTCCTCTTGCTGAGGAAGGGAGCAGACAGCATGGGTCAGCACGGGGGTGCCTAGGGGTGCACTAGGCTGCAGCAAACAGGAGAGAGGGCCGGGACGACGGGTACTTACCAAAAGGAAGGCGCGCACAGTGGGGATCTTGTTCAGCTCCACCAGCAGCCGCAGGGCCTTCTCGTGGTTGCTGCAATATTCCTCGTACACGCAGAACTTGTCCTTCTGCAAGACAAGGACAGAACCTGAGACGGGTCACGCCAGGCAGGCAGACACTCTGAGATGTGCTGCCGACCGGGCCGGCAGGCGGAGGAGGAAAGGATCCAGAGAGACCCCAGACCCTCAGAGACGACAGAGCCTGAGAGATTTCGGGTATAAAGAGCTCCCACACGCTGCAGGTCGCTCAGCCTTCACTTTTGCCCCAGTTCTGCACCCATCAGTCTGAAGAACCTTCCAAGAAGCAGCATGGCCCAGGGTCAAGTGTACAGACTCGAGCCAGGTGGCCTGGGCTTGAACCCTGCTCTGCATCTCCAGCTGTGAACCTGAGCAAGTTACCTGACCTCTCCGTGCCTTGGTGCCCTCGCCCAAAAGCCAGAGTTAAGAACAGTCCCTAACTCGAGGGCTTGTTATGAGGACGAAAGGAGTTCAAAATGTGAGGGTTCAGCATACAATAAGTGCTCAATGAATGTCCAACTTTACTATTAAAACGTGAGTCAGACTGAGTCATGCCAATGGTAGTCTATTATACTAGGAATAAAATCCAGCATTTTACCAAGACCCTCAAGGGTCAGGTGAGCCTGCCTTTCTCCGACCTCATCTCAGCGGCCTGCCTACTCCTGAAATCTGCCAAGCCTGTTCCCACCTCCTGGCCTTTGCACTTGCCATTCTCTCTACCTGGCACACTCTTCCCCGAGGCCGGGCCGCTTCCCACCACTCGGGACGGCCGTCCTCTCAAATCGCACCTGCACCACCCTGGCTGGAGTAGCCACGCAGGTGTTCTCTCTCACCCCCTACCTGTCTTCACTTTCTTGTTTACCGGTGTCTTCCCACTTGGCAGCCAGTCCCTGAAGGCTGCGAACTGTCTTGTTCAGTGAATATCCCCAGATCCAGCATAATGTTCAGCACACAGCAGACGCTCAGTGAACACTTGCTAAGTGAAGAAACTCTGCACACCTACTATGTGCTACACTCTCTCTATATGAACCAGAAGAGTCAGGACCGGCTCTGGAATTTGGGGGAACAAGCAGATCTCTAGTGGCTGCCACAGAGCGGTGGCAGTCCTGAGGCGGGGGGACAGTTCCGTTGACCTCCAGATGCCCCTGGGCCCCTAAGTCTTCTTAGCAGGAAGCTCTCCACCAAGCATTTCTCGGTTCCAAAAATTTCACAGAACGCTGCCTCCCAACTGGCCAAACCCCAAACAAGGCCAAGGCCACTGGGGAGGAAGGGCTGGAGGGCCCCCACTTTGGTCTGGGAGATAGGCAGGAGACCCCAAGCAGCAAAGAAAGGAAGAGGTGGGTCTGTTAAACAAGCAGCTCATCTTGTTTCTAAACAAGCCGCCAGTCATCCTGCCGACAGACAGGTGGCTACAGGAAAGAGGAAACCAAAGAGGAGGGAGAGCGGGTTTCAGAATCACTCAGCCACCCCAACACACCCGGTGCTCTCTGGGGGCTCTGCGAGCAGCCTCTGAGCAGACAGCCCCACCCGCTGCTCTCCTAGAACGAGGGTGCACTCGTCAACCCCTCACAATAACCTGACATGACAACATGGGAAAACCAAGGGAAAGTCATGAGCCCATGTCGCACACCTAGTGGAGGGGCAGAACCAGGATCAATCTCTCTTAATGTCCATGCCAACATCCAGCTCAAGGTCACAGTGCAGGGTAGGGGTGGGAGCAGGAGGCAAAAACAGTGGGTGCAAATCCCGAGCCACAGATCCACAGACTAAGCTCCGGGGGGCACTGCAGCATAATGAAGTGCACAGTGACCCTAGAACCAGACCACCTGGGTTGGACACCCAGCTCCATGTTCCCTAAGTAGTGGGTGACCTTAGGCAAGCTTCACCTACTTATGCCTCAATTCCCTCATCTATAAAATGAACCTAATAGCAGACCCCCCTACACACACACACTGCTTGGGCTGCTAGAAAATTAAATAACAGTATATGTAAAACAAGGAGAACAGTGCCTGATACGCAATGAGCCCTTCTACATTTCAAAATACTCTACAAGTATTAGCTACAAACACAAACTCAGTCAACAAAAATGAATCAATAGGGGAAAATACCAAAACAATCAATGCCACAATTATCCAGAGTGTACACATCAGTGACAAACGACCATGATACGGGCTCCAAAGAACCATCAAAAGATCTGAAACATTGCCCAGATGGTGTGGCTCAGTGGTTGAGCATCGACCCCTGCACCAGGAGGTCACCAGTTTGATTCCCAGTCAGGGCACAAGCCCAGGTTGTGGGACCAATCCCCAGTGGGGGGCACGCAGGAGGTGGCCAAGCGATGTTTCTATCTCTCTCTCCCCCTCTCCCTCTAAAATCAATAATGAAAAAAATAATGATTTTTTTTAGGAGATCTGAAGCATTGTAGTGCTCCATGCTCCAAACACCACCACCAATATTGGTGAGCACAGAAAACACAGAGTCACCACCTACAATCTCCCCACCCACTGACACCCTGATACACTCATACACACAAGGACAGGGAGGAAGAAGAGGGGACCCCAGCATCCAGCACACTGCCAAGCAGAGCATTTTCTAACTCCACTTGTCTCCAATCAAGGCCACTGAAGCCTGGCCTGCAGAGGTTCCCTCGGCACAGATAAAAGGATGTGAGTGGGGCTGCCAGACACATCTGGAACCAAGGCTTCGGCTGTAGACCATGGTGAGGCGGAATGCAGAGAACAGGGAGAGGACTTTTCTTGTAGGGGACAGGACTGGCCTGTCGCTGGGCCTGCTCCTGCAGAGAAGCCTGCAGTGCTCCAGACGGAGGGCTCGTCCCACTCGTATGTAAGAAGCTTTAAGAAAACATTGTTCCGCAGCCAAGCGCCTGGGCTCTCCTGGATCTACAGACCCTACTTTTGGTATTGTTCAGAGATAAGACATCGGAAGCCCCCGGGATCACTGTCAACATTAACCTTGTAAGTGTAAGTGCAGGTTCTGCAGCCAGACCACCCAGGTTCATAACCAGACCCCCGGCTCTGTGACCTTGGACAAGGCACGTAATGTGTCAGAGCCTCTGCGCTCCTGTCTATAAATTATAGACAATAATGACCTCCCCATCATAAGACTGCTGTGAGGATTCTCAGGTGAATTTAGAGCAAGTGCTTAAAATAATGCACAGTAAGTGCACATTAACTATTAGCCATTGATGTTGTAACCATTATTACCATCATTATGAATTCAGCAAGTTCATGATCCCAGTGGTGAATCAGTCTATGACAGGGTGGAGCAGCGGATAGGCAAGTTTGATGGCAAAAAAAGAGACAGGCAGAGTGAGGACCAAGGGAGCTGAGTGGACTTGTGGGTCTGGGGGAGGCCACCAGGGAAGGCACCAGGCAGGTTTTGAGAAATATGGTGGCCCTCGAGCCCCGGTGTCTCACTTTTCATTTGTGCACTGTCTCCCCCCACCTGCCCCCTGCACTATGAGCTCCACGGGGGCACGGTTTGCTGAGGTCACTGCCAGTGGGGACTGAAGTCCCAGCAGAGCACAGGCATCATGACTATTTGATGAATAAAAGCAAGAAAACAGAGGGAGGAACTGAGAGTCCTGAGAGCCCTCAAACCAGCCTCATGCTCCTTCCAGAAGACCCTGGTCCACCACAGCCACAGCCCAGGCTCCTCATGGGAACAGCTGCTGTTTCACCCACCCAGCATCCATTTTGTTCTGGTCACAGCCCCCCAATCTCCCCCTGAGGAACCTCCTCTACACTCTGAGCCCACTGACCCCACTCCATTCCCAGGCACCACAAGTGAGCATGCCACCCCGGCAGGCAATCCAACAGATCCCTGTCCTGACAACAGCGGCCCAAGCTGGGCCAGTGACAGCCCTCAAGGACTCATGGTCAAATCCATGTGAACTGTTGTTGCTGAGCTGTCAGGGTCAGCCTGAAACACTGAGGGCCACCTCTGCCACCACGGGAGGCGTCCCCCACCCCCGTCCCTCAAGAATGAAGCCAATATAGAGGAAAGCAGAGCCCAGAGACACAGAAAGACCAAGTCCTGAAAACATCATAGCGGGTCCTGGATCCAGCTATGCCTGAAGCCAACATACTCCTGAACATTTCATTTGTATAAGCCATAAAAATCTTTTGTTGTTGTTTAAGCCTATCTTAGTTGGTGTTCTTGTCACTTGCAGTAAAGACAGTCCTAATACATGCACACTCTGAAAAGGGAAAGAAAATGAAAAAATGGACCCAAGTGAGGTGAGGTGACAGGGTCTCTGTGCCCTTCTTCATCGGTACTGTGAAGGGGCTGGGCCAGAAAGCAGAGACAAACCTGTTTATTCTCACATGCCAGCCTTAATTAATAGGAACTGCTGGCTGGAACTCTGGTGAGAATTCTGGAGCCCCCAGGGAGCAGAGGCAGCATGCTGTGATTGATTAGTGATGTCTGCCACAGATGCAGGAGCAGAGTAAGTGATAAGATCACCACAGCTGTGTCATCCCTCATCCCCTGAGCCCCTCCTCTGACACTCTGCAATGTCATCCTCTCCTTCAGCCTATGAACAGGGCAGGGGACCAAGGCATGAGGCTTGGAGAAGTTAAATTTAGCAAACAACAACACCCCTCTTCAGAACCAAGCCCAGTTCTATCACTCCCATGCCCTTCCATTGAGCCTAAACCCGCTGCGTCTCAGGCCTGAGACTCTGCAAATCTGGAAATGCTGCATTTGACAGCGAAGAGTCCAAGTGTCCAGTTTCCTCCTCGGGGCCCCACGTGGGCTTTCACTGTTCTGCCAGGAAGAAACACACAGTTGTCCACACACAGGTGTGGTGAGTAGGGAGTGTGTGGCTGTGGGTTTGGGCTGTGAAGGAGCAGAGGGGCCAGCGGCCAGCTGGAGACGGCTGGGGGAGAGGGTCTAGGCCCCCAGAGAGGACTCAAGGACTGTCAGAGGTGGTCGCTGCTGTCCCCAGTACCTGGAGGGTACCACTGGCTCCATGGGGACCATCAGCTCTGAGCCACTCACTGTGCACCCGGAAAGACCGAGACTCCCCAAAAGAAAGAAGGAACTGGTCACAGGGACATTGACTCCGGTGGGGAGGGGAAGAGGAGACCCGAGTCTCACTTTTGCAAGGGTTCCCCAACCTATCCAGACAGCTGCAGGGAGAGGAGGCTCAATGTAACTCAGACCACACCGCTTCCCTGCTAAAAACTCAGAACGAAATCCCCACGGGCTCTGGTCCCCGTGACATTCCTGACTCCCCCCGTTGCTCCTCTGCTCGGCCACCGTGGCCTCCCTGCTCCCATCCCACGGACCCTGCCCTTCCCCCAGGTCATCCCACCTCACCGCCTCACAGAGGCCCACCCTGACTGGTGTTCCCAGATCAAACACAGGGCACCCAGGTTTCATTTCAGATAACTACATCACTTTTAAATATAATATGTCCCCAATACTGCATGAGACATACTGAAAATGTATTTGTCATTCACCTGAAATCCAAATTTATTCAGCTGTCCTAGGTGGTTTAACTGGCTAAATCCAGCCACCTGTCCCACGCTTCTCAAGGTCAGACCACCTTGGGTAAAGTCACACCTCGCACCTCATCTATGTTCTTCGTCTGAAATGACCGCCTCTGCTGACTCCCTCACCCTCCGTTTCTCAGGCCTACGAGCTTCAGGGCAGCAGGGAGCAAGTCTGTCTTATTTAGGGCAGCATCCTCAGGGCCCAGGACCATGCCTGGCACACAGTCGGTGCTTAATATGCATTTCAGGAGACGTTATCATGTAAGACTGTGAACAACACAAGCCCCGGAGCCAAACGACATGGGCTCAAATCCTGGCTCCAACACTTCCTGGCTGTGTAAGGTTGCACGAGGGCTTCATCTCCCTGGGCCTCAGTCTTCTCTTCTGTAAAGTGGGTATAATAACAGTACTCACTGTTTAAGGTTGTTGAGGAGTTTTAATGAATTCATATACATCAACTTGGAGAACAGGGCCCGTCATCAAGGCAGTGTTCACAGAGGCCTAGTCTGTGATCACGTCAGGAGCGGTGGCTGGCTTTGGGGGGGAGGGGAGGAGGGACTCTCCCGCTGCCCACTGACGGCGGCACCCACCGGCGGCTGGTCCGTCAGCCAGGGCCCTCACTGGGTCTGATGCCGCCCTTCCTCTCCCAGAAAGCCTTCCACAGAGCTCTGTGCCCACCTCAGCACCTGGGTGGCACCTAGCTGGGGAGTGAGCAAGCCGGGCAGGAGGCTGGCCCGGCGACGCTGCTCTGCAGTCGTGGTGGATGCTGTGGTGAGCCACGTGGCCTCCACCAGGACAGAGGCACCCACGGTCCCCAGTGAGTCCCTACCGGGAACTGTGCTGAGCCTGAGGCTTTACACACACCTGGGACAGCCCACGTCCAGGGACTGGGCAATGCGGGGCACAGAAGCCCACCCCCATCACTGCAATTTGGGGTGACCTAAAGAGCCACCCCAGCTACAGAGGTCCTCCCAGTGGGGACTATGCACCTCTCAGCTGCTTCTAATCTCCAGCTTCCAGAAAACCAACCTACAGCAGCGGCTGCTTACGGAAGGTAGTCAGTGAGCTCCTCCATGTGCGCAAGGGAAGAGACAACTTTACATTAAAACAATAGTTTTAACTAAAAAACACTGAATCACACACGGAGAAAGCTGCTTCCTTTTTCAATTGTTCCCGTTACCTCAGGAAGGGTCTCAGCTCGGTGTGACATGACTCAAACCCCATCTGACACTGTTTATCTTCCCTCTGATCGAACCTGGGCAGGCCTCAGGCTCCGAAACCCAGGTGGGGGAGTTTCTAGACAATGCGGTAACTCGGTTTGGTTTCTATTGCATTTCTTTTTACAGTTCCCTTCTATTTATAGCAATCATTTTCCATTTCCAATGATGATGCAAATTTCCCTTTTTAAATGTCTAAGTTAGTTTTTTTTTTTTTCAAATAAATCTATTTCTTAAAAGATGAAAAAAAATAATGATATGAAAGGTACACAGATATAGCAGAAATTACAGTGTGTGCCTCAATGAAGTCTGGCTTTGCCGCTGGAGGGGTTCAAACCCCAGCTCTTCCACCTATATAGTCATGACCTTGGATTTCACCTTACTCTCGGGTTGCTTGCCTGGTGAGTAACCTTAGGGCTCGATGCTGTTCTTTTTTTTTTAATCCTCACCCGAGGGCATTTTTCCATATTTTGTTCAGATAGAGTGGGAGGGAGAGAGAGAGAAACATCGATGTGAAAGGGACACATCGAGTGGCTGCCACCCACACGACCCAACCAGGGCCGGGGACAAACTGCAACCGAGGTACGTGCCCTTAGCGGGAACCGAACCCGGATCTTTCTGGACCGCAGGCCGACGCTCTAACTGCTGAGCCAAACTGGCCAGGGCTTGATGCTGTTCTTGATGCAAGGACAGAGCAGTGGACATGACAAGTCCCTACCCTCGTGTGGCTGATATTCTAGGGAGGACAGACAATGAACAAAAAAGAAGCGAAATATCTAATATATCAGAGGTGATAAGCACCACGGACCATAACCAAGCAGGGGGGTGGGTGGCTGGAAGGGCAGGGAGCATGACAATTCTGAACAGAGTGGGCGTGAAAGGGGAGAAGGGGGCATTTCCATCAAGATGTCAAAGCAGACTGGGATCAAGTTGCAGGGATGCCAGAGGGAACCGGTCCAGGTGGAGGGAACAAGGCACTCAAAGGCGACGTGAGAATGGACTCCCCACGTTCCAGAGCAGTGCGGAGGCCAGTGCGGCTGCAGTGGGGAAGGGCCCGGCAGGGTCTAATAATCACCAGGTGCCCCAGACACCGCTGGGAGGTGCCAGAGAGCTCTGGGTCCCAGGAACAAGTATGTACATCGTGCAAATGAGCGAACATTTCCCGAGCGTTTATTAACATGCCAGGTGCTGCTACTTTCAGTTCTCGCCACCACTGTGGAAGGGGTTTCAGGACCTCCACTCTACAGATGGGGAAGCGGAGGCCCGGCCAGGTGAGGTCATCGTCACAGAGCTGGAAAGCAGCAGAGCCAGGAGGCCAGGGCAGGGTGTGTGCTGGGCTCTCCAGATCCGGGGAAGGTCCCGGCCCAGAATCACTTCCCACAAAGACCGGAACTTGGACCATCGGTGCATCAGGATGCTGATGGTAGGCACTGCCCTCCTCAATGCCCAGTTTGATGAGGCTACATGACGAGGGTCGGGCAGTGCAGAAGGAGGTCTGGAGAAGAGTTTGCCACCTGGGCACTAAGATCCCCACCCTCTTTCCCCCAGCTGTCTGTCCCCTGCATCTCTGAACAATGAGGGATCCTATAGAGAGTGGGGAGAGCCCAAGTGGGCACTCAGGATCCAGAGACCCTCAATGATCAATACTGAAACCTGCTCACCACACCTCTGGGGCCCAGGCCCAGTAGTCAGGGGATCTAGGGGGCCTGGAATTGACAAACAGATAATGCACCTTGAGGACCCCTTCCCCAACTCTAGCTAAAGTAGGGTTGTCATCACTTCATGGTCAGCCCCAATAATGCCACCTCCTCCTGAAAGCCTTCCCGGGTGCCCCAGCTGGAAGGACACCCCGGCTGACACTCATGCAGCACCAGCTCAGTGCCAGCCTGGATCTTAGTGCTTCACTTGCATTAACTCATTCATCCACATGACAGAATCATGCCGCAGGTACTATCATTACCCCATTTTACAGAATCAGAGACTGAGGCCCAGAGAGGTGAAGTGGCTTGCCCAAGGTCACTCAGCAGATCAACGGGACAACAGGGACTTGAACCCAAGTAGTCTAGCTCCAGAGAAACAAGGGCTCACTCTTTCCTCTGAACCTGAAGGGAAGACTGGCCCCCATTCTTTTTATTTCCCTGAACCATCGGGGCCACTGCTCCTTGCCCCTGCTCACCATCCCACCGTCACCCTGCTCCAGGGCACCATCTTCCCAGACGCCACAGCGACTTCTTCCTGGTCTCCCTGCCCCTTCCACAGTCCACTCCCCCTCGCAGCAGCCGAAGGGCCCCCTGAGCCCAAAGCAGATCACACCTCTGCTCTGCTCCACCCCCTCCATCAGTGCCCATCTCACCTGTGCCCACCTTGCTATCACGTTCATCCTGTTTCAAACACCAAGGAATGGGGACTCCGTGAAGAGAAAGAGCGCGTCCGACATTTACTGAGCACCTACTGTGTGCCGGGAGCTGTTCTGAACACTCCCCTTACATCCTCAACAACCTCATGGGCAGGTCTAGTTTTTTTTACCCATTTTACAGGGGAGGACACTGAGGCACAGACAGGTTAAAACAAGTTGCTGAGAGGAGCACAGCTTACAAGCAGCTCGGCAGCCTGGCTGGGAGCACAGCCCACCCAACACAATGTCAGCCAGTGGCCGCCCCTGGGCTGCAACTCCGAGGGCAGACAGACCTACACCAGGCTGTGGCATCCTAGACTCTGGCCATCAAGACCTGATCCTTTAGGGAAGGGAGTTAGTGACGATGACGATGGCTCCGTGAGAGCTGACGTGGACCCGGTGCTTACTATATATACATCAGGGTTTCTCACTCCAGCACGGCTCACACTTGAGGTCGAACGATGCTGTTGTGGGGGCTGCCCTGTGTACTGGAGGGTGTTTGGTGGCAACCCTGGCCTCCACCCACTAGAATCCAGTAGCCATCTCCCCCAAAGCTATAACAATAAAAGATGTCTCTAGACATAGCCAAATGTCACCAGGGGCAAAATCACGCCCTGGCGGAGAACCGCTGCTCTATGCTCACAGTTTACTGCTTTGTGTCTGAGTCTTCCCATCAACCCAAGGAAGCAGGCATGATTATCCCTACTTCTCAATCAGGGGAGAAGCCCGCTTCCCAAAAGCTGTAGGCTCCGACAGGGGCTGGGGCACCGTACTCACGAATCTTAAGAAAACGTTCCCAAGTTCATGCTGAGACTGAGGCTCCGGATGTAAACAGTACTCCAAGGCAGCCAAGAAATCCTTATGAACATCCAGGATGTCTTCAATGTTCGAGAACAGGATCTGTGAGGACAAGCGAGGCCCGCGGACGGCGTTAATCAGGGCACAGAGGGCGAGCAAAACTGTGCGTATTTTTTTAAGATAACAGTTAAATTGAACCTGTCTGAGTACATTTATAAGTTCATTGTGCAGCCCTGGCCAGTTTGGCTCAGCGGTTAGAGCATCGGCCTGCGGACCAGAGAGTCCCAGGTTCGGTTCCCGCTAAGGGCACGTACTTCGGTTGCAGTTTGTCCCCGGCCCTGGTTGAAGTCATGTGAGTGGCAACCACTTGATGTGTCTCTCTCACATCGATGTCTCTCTCTCTCTTCCCCCCATCCCCCTCCCGCTCTATCTAAATATAAATGCAAAAATGTCCTTGGGTGAGGATAAACAAAATAAAATAAATAAATAATATTTTTAAAAAGTAAAAATTAAAAATACACAACTCCCAGAGCAGGTGAGGGTGTGGTGAAACAGATCAGACACACACACTGGAGCCAGTTAACACTAATAAAAATAATGATAATGATAAAAAATATTGCCAACATTAACTAAACAGGATTAGCATCTAATCCTGTGCTAAGAACTTTATATGCATGTATGGCATCTAATCCTCACTCTAACTCCATGAGGTGGAAACTACTATTATCCCCAATTTGTAATGAAGAACGGACGTTCAGAGAAAGTAATTAGCATTGCCAAGCCACACACCCAGTAGGCAGCAGCCCTGAGCTGCACACTCAGCATGCAGAGGAGGGTTTTAGACATTCATCACAGTCTTCATTGTGGCCGCAACTGCTCTGTCCAACCATAAGGCTGTTTTTTAAAACAATGAGGGTCTTTCGACGTACCCATTAAAATGCTGTGGTGGACTAAAATACAATAGGGAAGGGTGTTCAAAATATGCTGTTTAAACTCTCACCAACAGCCCTGGCTGGTTTTCTCAGTGGTTAGAGCATCAGCCCTCAGACCAAAGAGTTGAGGGTTCGATTCCTGGTCAAGGGCACCTACCTGGGTTGCAGATTCGATCCCCAGCCCCCTTTGGGGTCATGCAGGAGGCAACCAATTGATGTGTCTCTCTCACATCAATGCTTCTCTCTCTCTCTCCCTTCCTCCCTCCCACTCTATCTTAAAAAAAAAAAAAAAAATCAATGGAAAAATATCCTCAGATGAGAATTTTAAAAAAATTTTTAACTCTCACAAACAATATATGAGTGCCTGTTTCCACTCAGGAATCTACAAAGCTTGAAATGTACATACACTCTCACCCAGGAAGTCTACATTTTAGAATTTGACCTTTCAATCAGTCATTTCCAATTAGGTGCAATTTTGCCTCCCAAGGGACATTTTTGATTGTCACAAATGGGGGAGGGGGGAGGCTACTGGCATCTCGTTGGTAGATGCCAGTGATGCTGCTAAACATCCCACAATACACAGCACAGCCCACCCCCCAGCAAAGAATCACCCAGCCCAAAGTGCTAACTGTGCCAGGGCTGAGAACGGGGTGGGTGGCCACGAACATTTACTGCAGCCTTATTTGCAGGAGCAAAAGACTGGGGGGAAAGGACAAATATTTATTAATGGGGACTCGTCAAACAGTTAAAAACTGGACTGGTTACAGTGAACTACATTCCACATACTGAAATACTATTCGGTCTATAAAAAGAAACTGCAGATCTGGATATATGGATATGGACCTGCATAATCCTTTATATATGTATTGCTGAGGGGTGGGGAATGCTGGTGCCACAGAGAATTTCAGTATTGGCCCAAGGACACAAGCTGGTAACCGTAAGGGCCTCTGGGAAGGAGAATCAGCGAAGACGTTACTGCGTAAATTCCTTTTTCAGTTTCTTTTTTCTAAAATGATGCATTTTTTATTAACTGTATTGGGGTGACATTGGTTAATAAAATTATATAGGTTTCAAGCACACAATTCTGTGATACATCATCTGTATATTGCATTGTGTACCCACCACCCAAAGTCAAGTGGATGCATTTCTTAAACGAATGCATTTTCAATTTAATTTTGAAGAAGGCACTCATGAGTCAAAGAATCAAAACATTGTAAAATAAATACAGTGAGGAGTCCTACTCCCACCCATCTCCCCACTCCCCACCCACCGTGGCTGGAGGTGACCAGAGTTACTACTGGTTCCTTCTAGGGTTTCTTATGCATCCATTCATTCAGCAAGTATTGACTGAGCACCTACTATGTGCAGGCACTGTTAGAGGCCCTGGGGATACAGCAGGGAACAGACAAGTGCCTGCCCCATGGAGGTGACAGTCTAGTGAAAGGGGACAGACAATAAACAAGTAACTGTAGTTTTCTAGGGGGTAGAAACAATAAGAAAAAAATAAAATGGGAAGTAAGTCTCAAGGTGGGGTAGAAGAAGTTGACAAATTTAAATATAGAAGCCAGGGACAGTCACTCTGAGAAGGTGACATTTGAGTCAAGAGCTGAAGAAATGAAGATCAGCATGGTGAACCCCATGAATGCACCAGAAAGTCCACAGAGGGAGATGGCCTGAGGGTGGGCAGGGAAGGCAGAGGGGCTGAAGACCACTCCTCAACTACTGCCCAGTGAGAGCACCAGGGCCTCGGCCTGGGGGCAGGGGATGGGATGGGAGATGCTCATCCCAAGAAGTGGCTGGAAGAATCACCCGAACTGTTTGGTTAGTTTTCTCTCGTTCGGTTAAATCTCTGCTTGTGTCAAAGACACATGTGATAGATTCTACTGTTATACATGCTTCGAGGAATGGCTGTAAAATTTCAAAATAATTATCTGTCTCCTGAGTTTATACTCAAAAGAAATGAGAACCTATGTCTACCAAAAGAGGTAACAAAAATGGTCATAATAGCCAAACCTGGAAATAACTCAAATATCCATCCACAGGAGAATGGACGAGTAAACTGTGGTACATTCATACTGTGGAATACTACACAGCAATGAAAAAGAATGAATCGTGGCTACACACAGCATGGATAAATCTCACAGACATAACAGTGAGCAAAAGACACCAAACATAATGCCAGAGCTCATTTTTATATAAAATTCAAGGACGAGCAAATCCAATCGATGCTAACCAATCAGTAGTTATCTGTGGAGAGGAGGCACTTACTGGAATGGGGCACAGAGGAGCCCACACTTAAGATTATACCCTTTACTGTATGTGAGTTAAACCTCATTAAAAGGCAATTTAATAAAACTGTAATAAATTGCCATTTGAAATTATAATAACTTTTAAACTGGAATAGATTGCAATGAATAGATGTAATAAACTGTAGGTGCTCAGTAAATACTTGCTGAATGAATGAGTGAATGAATGCATGTATAAAAAGTTCTGATCCAGCATTCCCAGGCACCAGCCATACAGTGACCCTGAACAGGTCTCTTCATATCTCTAAGCCTCAGCTTTCTTATCCAAAAAACTGGGCTCAGAATTGTCAATGTGCAAGGTCACTGTCCAGATTAATCAGGACATGTGGGTGGGCGGAGGGGGGGGTCCTGCTTGACCAAGGCCTTTGTGTGCTGTATATGCTGGCACTTCTGACCCCTCCCTGCCCTGTCTCCCCTTCTCCCCTAGGACCAAGACCCTGGTGCCCCAAGAACTGAAGGCAGCTTCCCAGAGAGGGAGGTCACACGAGAAAGCCAGGCCCGGGAGCACGGGGCCTCCACCATGCACACAGAGGGCCTATTGACGTCCTCCCAAAACTCCCCAGAGCCACTGCCAAATCGAAGCCTGGACCCAATTATTCATCCACCCTGCCTCCACATTCAATGCCCAGTGCAGGACAGGGGCTGGGGCTGCCAGGAGGCGGCTGGAGGTGTCAGGCTCCCGGGGGCTCTTGGGAGGGGATTTTCCGCTGGCTTGAAGCCAGGGGGCCTGGCATGAGGAGGCTGGAAGACAGGGTGGTCATGCTGAGCAAGGAGAGAAAGTCTGGAGCTGGGGGGTGGAAGCCTGAGGCCTAGCCCTCCTGACATCCACCAGGCCCGTCTGCTCTCAGGACGGAGAGGCCTCCAGGGGCTGCAGGGAGCACACTTCAGGAGGACAGATCCAGCTGCCAGTGGGGTGGATGCGCCCCGGCCCCCAAGCACCCTCTCAGCACCGCCCGGGAAGGAAGCAAGGCGCCCAGCAGCAGGGACAGTCTGCAAAGGGGCCGACCCAAGTGTCCGCACCTTGACATTCTCCTCCGTGAGGCCCTTCTCCGCTGAGTCCGCCACGTTCTGCCGGATGCGGTGCAGGAATGCCTAGGGAGAGAAGCAGGGAGACGTGAGTGTCCACACGCTGGCCGCCCACGGATGGCCCGCAAGAAGGGCCACAAGTCCAAGCGCCAACTGGGACCTGGAAGGCACCACAGTACAGGGACGTGGGCAGCAAATAAGGCAAAACCACTCTGCCAGTCAGTCAACAACTATTTACTGAGCACCTACTACACCCAGCCCTGTGCAGAAAACACCACCAAGCCCTACCCTACTTCCTCACCCCTGGGCCTCTCTCAGACTATAATTCATTTTTCCTTTTTTTACCTTTCTCTTTTTAAAATTGAACTTCTAAATAGTAACACGTTCACCTGGTTCAAAAGTCAAAAATACAAAAAGTCTCCTACACACCGGCTCTATCCATCCAGTCCCTCCCCACCCCCATAGGAACCATGTGACTAGTTTCTAGTATATCCTTCCAGAAGATCTGTATATCAAACACACACACACACATGCATGCACGCCCTGGCCAGCTGGCTCAGAGGTTAGAGCGTCGGCCTGTGGTCCAGAGAGACCCAAGTCTGGTTCCCGCTAAGGGCACGTACCTCAGTTGCAGTTTGTCCCCAGCCCTGGTTGGGGTCATGTGGGTGGCAGCCACTCGATGTGTCTCTCTCACATCGATGTTTCTCTCTCTCTTCTTCCCTCTCTCCCTCCTGCTCTATCTGAAGATAAATACAAAAATGTCCTCGGGTGAGGATAAACACACACACACACACACACACCACACACACACACACACACACACACATTGGTCAAAGAGTACAAACGTCCAGTTACAGATGAACAAATTCTGGGGATCTAAAGTACACCTAATAATCCAGTTAATACTGGATGATATACTTGAAAGCTGTACTGTGGTGGTAATCACTCTGCAATACAGAAGTGTATTAAACCAACACACTGGCCCTGGCCAGTTTGGCTCAGCGGTTAGAGCATCGGCCTGCGGTCCGGAGAGACCCGGGATCGGTTCCCGCTAAGGACACGTACCTCGGTTGCAGTTTGTCCCCGGCCCTGGTTGGTCATGTGGGTGGCAGCCACTCGATGTGTCCCTTTCACGTCGATGTTTCTCTCTCTCTCTCTCTTCCTCTCTCTCCCTCCCACTCTACCTAAACAAAAAATGGAAAAATGTCCTCGGGTGAGGATAAAAAAAAAAAAAAAAAAAAACCCACACACTGAACACCCTAAACTTACACAATGTTACATGTCATACATCTCAATAGAGTGGGAAAGACACACACACACATGTGTGCATATACATATCCACACACACATATATACATAGATCCTTATTTTTTCCCCTTTTTATATTCCAAAACATGGCAGCGAACACAGGATGTGCTGGCTCCGCTCAGCGATCTCCCCTCTCCTCACACGGGGAGCACCCCGTTCTCTCTCCACAGCTGCCAGCATCCTGCCGTGTGGATGGACCACAGTCGGTCTGCACGCTTTTCAGGGGCTCGGAACAGAGAAACCATTTCTCTCCTCGGTGACGTGACAGACGACAACGGAGAGGAGCGGAGGGACCTGTAAGCAGTGCACGCCCCCTCCAAGATGTTCTGGGTTTTGTTTTGGTTTCGGGGGAGGGCGCTTTTTTTTAAAGAAGGCAGAAGTTAGGATTTCTTAAAAGTAAAGTCTCCCAGTGTTTAAATGTTGGCAAAAGAGCTAGCTCTCTGTGTTTGTGAGGAACTGGATTTTTAGGGTTGAGCATGAAAGTGGGGGGACCCAAGTAGAGGGGTGCAGCCGTGCTGAGAGATGACAGTGGCCTGGCTGGTGTGGGCGGGAGAGTAGACAGAGGAAGAGCAGTTAAGGTCAGGTAGACGGGCAAGGGGACAGACCAATATGGGACAGAGGGGAGACAGCACCGGAGGGAGACCAAGGCCAGTCATTCACAGCAAACCCCGCCTGGTTTGTCCTGACTCGAGCACTTAGCCCCAGGCTGACCTGGTAACAGCCAGGTGGAGACCCTGCAAAAATGACTTCATGTTCCTGTCACGACCACAGAGGCAGGATGAGATATGATGGCCAGCCAGTGGCCCTTCAGCATGATTATAACTCAGGGACTCCAGGAGGGGGGCCAGATGAGTACACACTGTCCCTGTCGCAGAGCTCAGCTGCAGGTTAATTAGGAGCATGTCTCATCCAACCACGCCTGTCTGGAGAGATCTCTGAGTGGTGGGGAGATCAAGGGAACAGTCCAGGATGGAGGGAAGCAGGGGAAGGTGGCAGAAAGGAGGCTGGCCCTCCACAGATGGCTGCCGGATCCTTTCCCATCACTCAGAGGGACGCCCATGGCTGTCACGAGGAGCTGGCCACCTGCAGGTCTCCACGTGGCGGGTCACAGAGAGGAAAATCAGGGACACAGAGCAAGGCATCCTTGCCTTTGTCTACAGTCACTGCAGGGCAGTCTCCACCAGTCCCCTCGAGCTATGTTTACATGCCCAGCCTGGGCTTCTCCCTTGATATCCAGACCCTCACCTGGATTTCTGCCAACTCGACATCCCCACCTGGATGTCCAAGGGGCATCTCAAATTTAACACATCCAAAACCTAATCCTTGACCCTCCACCAAGCCACATCACCAAGCTCTTCCCAGCCTGATTGACGGCACCTCTACTGGTGCTACAGCCAAGCCACCCCCACCAGCCATCCTTGACCTCTCTTTATCTGACACTCCGTTTCCATCTGTCAGCAAATGCTGTCCACTTCACCTTCAGCATGCATTAAAACCCCCACCTCTTCCCCCGCTCCTCAGCCACCCACCTGGTCCCAGTTACCATCATTTCCTGTCTGGACTAGTGCAGTACCCTCCTCCCGGTGCCCTCCTCACTGCTCCCCTCCCCACCCCCAAAGTCCTTTCTCCACACAGACAGCCGCAGGGTTCCTTTTAAATATGTAAATCAGATCCTGTCAATCCAGGGCTTAAAACTCTCCGTGGCCTCCCACTACACTTTGAAAAAATTCCAAATCCCTCCTGGCCGGTGTGGCTCAGTGGTTGAGCATCGACCCATGCACCAAGAGGTCGCCGGTTCGATTCCCGGTCATGGCTTATGCCCAGGTTGTGGGCCAAATCCCCAGTGGGATTTGCAGGAGGCGGCCGATTGATATTCTCTCTCATCGATGTTTCTATCTCTCTCTCCCTCTCCCTTCCTCTCTCGCTAAATCAATAAAGAGAGGGAAAAAATAAAAAACTTTAAAAATCCAAATTCTTCCACAGCCCATAAGGTCCCCATGACCTTGTCCTAATGAATGTCCCTGAAATCACCTTCCAGCATTCCATCACCCTATACCTCAATAATCTTCAGCCACACCCTCATTCTCTCTATTCCTTCCACCTGCCAGGCACATTCCTTCCTCAGGACCTTTGCACATGCTCCTCCTATTAGCAGGACATTCTCCCCCAGCTCTCCCCTGGGCCAGCTTCTTCTCATTTACCAGGCCTTAGCTCAAATGTCACCTCCAGAGGCCCTTCTATCTTTACCACGTCCTACCTTCCCATCTTGCAATAAAAGCGTACTTGACAAATGAAAAGACTAAGGTTAAGCAATCCACACCAGCTGCTGCTAAGGGGTAAGAAGGGAGCAGGGCTGGGAATGAACTCTCACCCTAACCCCACAACAGAGGCCAGGCTTGGGAACGGGTGGTTCGATGTAAACTGCAGTCCTCCTCCTCTCCGCTGTGTGTGTGACCTCAGGAAAGTACATTCGCCTCCCGGAGTCTGTTTACTCTTCCCAGACATGGAGAGCGGAGTAATACCGCCCTACCTTCCAGAATGTATCAGGATAGAGTGAATGGAAGCTCCATGAGAGCAGGGACCTTGTCTCCCTTGTTCCCAGCTGCCCTCCAGGGCCTAGACTAGTGCCTGGCACTCAGTGCGCACCCAGAACTCAAAGGAAGGGACAGAAGGAGCCTGGCACAGTGCCTGACACTTGGCAGGAGCAATTCGGGCCACTTGGTAGCCTGCTGATTTTCCTTTGTGGAGGATAATGAATGGGTAGAGGGGACAGGGGACGGGAGTTCCTAGAGGATGTTCCCATCACAGGGCCTGCGGTGCTGCCGGGAAATCCAGCCTCCAGCCTCCTCAGCCTGGTGGGACACAAAGGCAGCCTCACAGAGCACAGCCAGGGGGAGCAGGAAGCTGGGCGTGCAGCGAGGCTGACCTAGATCGGGACTTCCTGTCCCGGTTTCTTCACACGAGCAGGGCCACCACTATTGTGCTGGGACAATGAGAGGCTCGGGCCACCCACAGAGGAGCCGCAAACAGGCCCATGTGATGGGCTCAATGGGCAGCTCGTGACCTGGAAAGAATGGGCAGGCAAAGGCTCTGGGCCCAGCCTCATGCTCCCCAAGACACGACCGGCTTTTCCAGGCGGTGCCAATGCCCTCTGTGCAGGCGGGGACTGAAAGGACCCACTGGGGCAACTCCTTGTCCCAGCCTGACAGCTTTGGAGCACTCGGCCAAAAGCAGCTCTCATCCTGGAAACCTCCGCAGGGATGAGATGGTTCTCAGGACTTCCTGGGCTGCCGAGACCCTGCTTCAGCCATGGAACCTTTGCCCGTGCCAGGTCCATGCCGCACCCCTGCCTGGGCCACTGCCCTGCGCCTGCCCAGGTCCTCCTCTTCTTTCTATGATAATACATCAAAGAGCCAGAAAAAGATCAAGAAAAATTTAACAAACACCCACAGGGCATCATTGCCCAGCTTGGGCCAATCGTAGCATTAAGCCAAATTTGCTTTAAATCATTTTTGAAAAGAAATTCATCAAATCTGGGGAAGTGTCAACTGGTAAGGGGCACAAGGGAGCCCTCCAGGGTCCTGGAAATGTTCTACTTGATGGGAGCGGTGGGTACTCAAGTGAACGCATGTGCAAAGCCCCCTCAGTGAGCACCTAGTGTGAGTTCACTTTACCCATCCACCATGTGAATATCACCACCCCCTCCCCGATTCAGAAGCAGGAAGAAAGGAATGTTAGAGAGGTGGGCCACCTGTGCA